TGGATAACTGTCTTAGATCTCTGACCTCTTACCAGAATGTGGCAGGGGGTGACTGGGTTTTCAGTCCCATCATACAGAGGAAACTCTATAACATCTGAATCTACGATTTGCTAAATGTAACTTTACCTGTGTTGTTAGGTAAGACACATATGCAACAGTTAGGTATCTTTATTTCGAAACGTTTCGCCTACACAGTAGGCTTCTTCAGTCGAGTACAGAAAAGTTGATAGAAGCAGAAGATACCTGAAGACGATGTAATCAGTCCATCACCCTTAAAGTTTTGAGGTGGTCAGTCCCTCAGTCTGGAGAAGAGCATTGTTCCGTTGTCTGAAACAATATGAAGTTGAAGTGACAGAATGGGGCCTTATATATTATGTTACTGAAAAGGCTCCTGGATAGAGAAGTGATTGCATTGCTTGATCAAAGAGCACAGAGATCTTTAATCCACAGAAGCACACTTTATGAACTCGGTGCGACACCATGTGACAACATATCATTAGACCTAATTGGATTTTTCCAGGGCCCTGGTGGTCAGCTGCAAACGATCAGCGCATCAGTAGCAGACCAGCTTCCTGGCAGCATACAAATTAGAGGCTTGCAGGATGCCATTTCTACATTTAAAAGAAGCCAATGTATAGCTTGCAGACCTTGATTTTCAGACTGGCGAGGTCGTGTCAATAGACCTATTAATTGGCGGTGACCATTTCAGCAAATTTATTCGGTGAAAGACAACAGTGAATAATATCTTCCTGTTGAGGAATACTGGCGGTCATATGATATTTGGGCCACTCTCCAATGGTGAGGAAAGTGACCGTGAAGATTGACACTGTAAGAAGTGTCTTAGTAACGGGAATTACTGACCACCACTGTCCTGATACTACCAAGCGCCCAGCTGGTCGGTACGGTGTCGTTTACCAAATGAGGGCGACCGACCACCACGGAAACCCTACCTCATTCCAGCAGACACAGTCTGCTTGAACACTTCTGTTGTGCCTGAGACACCCATTGATTGGTCTAAGTACTCCTCATTCGATAATCTTTTGACAGCTACCTCTCAAGTACTCACATCCCGACACGAACAGTGAAAGGATAAGATTTAGATCCCATGAGACATTTTGGGTAAAACAAGTACAGTGAGAAAGCTTCTCAGCTGACTATGACTTCCTGAAAACTGGGAGCAAGTCCACCATGAAAACAGACTTAGTACAAATACTTGGACTCTACCCGGACTCAGAAAACATACTGGGGTGCCTAGCAATACAAAACTCTTCTCTGTCCTAGTACCTAATTAACACTGGCTGACAAAGGCGATTATTAATGACGGTCATCTACGAGTGTCACACGGGGATGTCAGTGACAGAATGCAAAATTCGCCAGTTTCACTGGGTATACTATAGACTCTGGCCATACAATAGAGCGGAAAAATAATGTAAGGGACCTGGGAGTAATAATGTCTGAGGATCTCACTTTCAAGGATCACAACAGTGCCACGATCGCACGTGCAAAGAAAATGATAGGATGGATAATGAGAACGTTCAAAACGAGAGATGCCAAACCAGTGATGATCCTTTTCAAATCACTTGTTCTCTCTAGGCTGGAATACTGCTGTACATTAACATCTCCATTCAAAGCAAGTGAAATCGCAGATCTATAGAGTGTGTACAGAGATCCTTTATTGCACGTATAAGTTCTGTCAAGCACCTTAACTACTGGGAACGCTTGGAAGCACTCGACTTGTACTCGTTGGAACGCAGGAGGGAGAGATATATCATAATCTACACTTGGAAAATCCTGGAAAGAATGGTCCCAAATCTGCACACAGAAATCACTCCCTACGAAAGTAAAAGACTGGGCAGGCGATGCAAAATGCCCCCAATAAAAAGTAGGGGCGCCATTGGTACACTAAGGGAAAACACCATTAGTGTCCGGGGCCCAAGACTGTTCAACAGCCTCCCATCAAGCATTAGGGGAATTGCCAATAAACCCCTGGCTGCCTTCAAGAGAGAGCTGGACAGATACCTAAAGTCAGTGCCGGATCAGCCGGGCTGTGGCTCGTACGTTGGACTGCGTGCGGCCAGCAGTAACAGCCTAGTTGATTAGGCCCTGATCCATCGGGAGGCCTGGTCATGGACCGGGCCGCGGGGGCGTTGATTCCCGGAATAACCTCCAGGTAACCTCCGGGCACCCAGAACATCAAAACACAACTGATGTGCTGTATGCCATGTCGTCATTATCGCAGATGTGTGAGGCATGTCGGCTCCTTTGAAGCGCCCCAGGTAAACTATCCCCACATCACAGGGAAAATTTTGCTCTGTGACCAAGGCCACTTGCAGTGTGTACAAGGACTACCGACAGTTTAGTGCCATTTGTACTGAACTGTCCCCCGAGAGCTATGACCTCGACAGAGACCCAAGCAGCCACCCTGGGACACCGCAAGACTGCCAACGTTACTCATCAACGTATGAAGGATGCCAGAGATGATGACCTTGTTGGACCAAGTCTAAACAGCGCCTAGTCCCTTCCCTAATGTGGGAAATCAGAAGTTAGCTGATTCCCGAATCTGTTAGTCCTAAGTCGTGGGAAGGGGGGATAGGGGGGTATTATGGTGTAGAAAGAGTCGGGGCTTGTTAGTAAACCCACAAGTATGCCGACACCCGACAATGCCGCATCCTTCTATGAACTTTTAAATTATAAGTATATTCAGTGTTGAAGCCCTTATAGGCTAATGTATCACTTAAGCTGAGTTAGAGTTAGATATAGAGTAATTTAGGTTAGTATCTATGATTACTTTTATCTCAACCAACACAAATTGACAACAGTGGGCACCCACTTGTACCAGTAATCATATAACCACATGTACGAGGAGAGTGTAGGCGAACGAACTCGGCCTAGTCATGACTTCCTTTATGTAACAACTTAGTTACAAAGGGTGACATACCCTACACTAGGTGAGGAACACTAATACTCATTAATTACATTACAACGTGAATCAGACTTGATTGACTTCACTGGATAACTAAATGATCAGTCATACAGCCAAATACGCTCTTTCTTCTGCACACACACACACACACAGACACACACACAGACACACACACACACACACACACACACACACACACACACACACACACACACACACACACACACACACACACCTCCCGACTGGGTGGTGACAAGGGTCACACCTACAGATTCTGACTGGGAGGTGACAGGTGGTCACAGCCATGACTCCCATCTGGGAGGTGACAGGTGGTCACAGCCATGACTCCCATCTGGGAGGTGACAGGTGGTCACAGCCATGACTCCCATCTGGGAGGTGACAGGTGGTCACAGCCATGACTCCCATCTGGGAGGTGACAGGTGGTCACAGCCATGACTCCCATCTGGGAGGTGACAGGTGGTCACAGCCATGACTCCTATCTGGGAGGTGACAAGTGGTCACAGCCATGACTCCCATCTGGGAGGTGACAGGTGGTCACAACCATGACTCCCATCTGGGAGGTGACAGTTGGTCACAGCCATGACTCCCATCTGGGAGGTGACAGGTGGTCACAGCCATGGCTCCTATCTGGGAGGTGACAGGTGGTCACAGCCATGACTCCCATCTGGGAGGTGACAGGTGGTCACAGCCATGACTCCCATCTGGGAGGTGACAGGTGGTCACAGCCATGACTCCCATCTGGGAGGTGACAGGTGGTCACAGCCATGACTCCCATCTGGGAGGTGACAGGTGGTCACAGCCATGACTCCCATCTGGGAGGTGACAGGTGGTCACAGCCATGACTCCCATCTGGGAGGTGACAGGTGGTCACAGCCATGACTCCCATCTGGGAGGTGACAGGTGGTCACAGCCATGACTCCCATCTGGGAGGTGACAGGTGGTCACAGCCATGACTCCCATCTGGGAGGTGACAGGTGGTCACAGCCATGACTCCCATCTGGGAGGTGACAGGTGGTCACAACCATGACTCCCATCTGGGAGGTGACAGGTGGTCACAGCCATGACTCCCATCTGGGAGGTGACAGGTGGTCACAGCCATGGCTCCTATCTGGGAGGTGACAGGTGGTCACAGCCATGACTCCCATCTGGGAGGTGACAGGTGGTCACAGCCATGACTCCCATCTGGGAGGTGACAGGTGGTCACAGCCATGACTCCCATCTGGGAGGTGAAAGGTGGTCACAACCATGACTCCCATCTGGGAGGTGTCAGGTGGTCACAGCCATGACTCCCATCTGGGAGGTGACAGGTGGTCACAACCATGACTCCCATCTGGGAGGTGACAGGTGGTCACAGCCATGGCTCCTATCTGGGAGGTGACAGGTGGTCACAGCCATGACTCCCATCTGGGAGGTGACAGGTGGTCACAGCCATGACTCCCATCTGGGAGGTGACAGGTGGTCACAGCCATGACTCCCATCTGGGAGGTGAAAGGTGGTCACAACCATGACTCCCATCTGGGAGGTGTCAGGTGGTCACAGCCATGACTCCCATCTGGGAGGTGACAGGTGGTCACAACCATGACTCCCATCTGGGAGGTGACAGGTGGTCACAGCCATGACTCCCATCTGGGAGGTGACAGGTGGTCACAGCCATGACTCCCATCTGGGAGGTGACAGGTGGTCACAGCCATGACTCCTATCTGGGAGGTGACAGGTGGTCACAGCCATGACTCCCATCTGGGAGGTGACAGGTGGTCACAACCATGACTCCCATCTGGGAGGTGACAGGTGGTCACAGCCATGACTCCCATCTGGGAGGTGACAGGTGGTCACAACCATGACTCCCATCTGGGAGGTGTCAGGTGGTCACAGCCATGACTCCCATCTGGGAGGTGACAGGTGGTCACAGCCATGACTCCCATCTGGGAGGCCATGAATTCAATCCCAACCTCGAACGTTTAACACAAATACATATGTAAATTTTTATAATATACTTATTTTACTCAAAATCTACGTGTTTCTCATCAGTGAAAGATGTAGAGCAGTGCGTCATTACCTTCCCTCTCTGAGCTGTGTAGAAGCGTAGATATTGCCAGTATCTGGCTGGAGGGTAAAGAGTGGGTGAGGAGAACCCTCCCACGCAAAGGTCTTATCCTTCAGGTCCCAGTCATCAGGGTCCTCCACGTACACTCTACCCAGACTCGCCTCACCAGTCCCGCTCTGTCAGGTCAGTTTAACAGTAACATCCCAAAATTTTTTTTAGCACATTATTAAAATATTTGTTACATAAATGGTTAAGAAAATGAGTAAGTTGATAAATGAGACGCTTGTGAGACACTTGGGTATCTTTTAAAATAGAGGAAATGCTCCACCAAAGAGCGGCTTCTTCAGTTCAATACAGAGAAGAACGGTGGAAGATAAGGAGTTTGAGGTAATTAGTCCCTCAGCCTTGAGTCGATGTGTATACCCAAATATTGCACAAGAGACTCATTCAAAAAATATTTATATTTCACAACAGCATAACAAATATATACATAAATAACACAGATCAGTGACAAGTCCTTAATTTCTCTCATATTTTAAAAGGGAATATTGTCAGTTTTCTCCTGGAACTGAAAGACATTGAGAAATAACAGATCTTTAGCAGAATAACATGTACAATCCAAAACAGTGCGACTTAAAATACTGAAAAACACGAAATTAATGTGAATCCCAGAACAAGTACTTCCCATGGTGTCAGGTTCGGCCTTTTATCCTTAACCAGATGTTATTCAAATATTGCACTAGAATATAGGTAAAATGAATTACGAAAACACAAACAATAGAGAGAGAATTTACGAGTTTAAAATTAATGACACCAAGACAATCAAGCTAGAGAGTGGTAGCAGTTGCCATAATATTTACATCAGCAAAATATGTTTAATTAATGATTGAGAGGGTCCATCACATCCGAAGTAGAGGCAGACAGAAGGATATCTGGCATTCAAGTTTCTACAGCTTTAATCAGTACAGATTGCCAAGAAGTTGATTGAAAGAAAAAGTCAGAGGTCTAGAAAGTAAGAGAAAATAAAGCAAGCATAGACAGAATAGCCATATATAAAATGGTAAGAAGAAGGAAATTCCAGATGGGCCGAGACTCAGGTACGGCGAGAGAATAAAGATGATGGAACGAAACTGAGCTGATGACAGTTGAAATATAATGAAACCTGAATTTATAATGGGGAAGTAAAGATTCAAGGTTTGTAAAGATAATGAAGATATAATATAGAATAAAAAAAATTAAGGAATTAGAGATAAATAAGGAAAATTGCTTATAGAATAATGAAGACAGTAGCTAGGGGTAGGGAGAGAAAAATACAGGACTTATTGTTGCTAAACAATGATAAAATGAATATAGTTACAGGGAGCGAGGAGGATGTGACTGAGAAACTGAAACAAAATAGACCATCGTACAAATAATGACATGAAATACTTTGACAAAGGATTTATTTGAAAAAAAAAAAATAGCAGATTTACGGCAGGATAAACACAGAGGAAGACTTAACAGTAAAGAAAATCTGCATTTTACAGTGACTAAGACAGTCGAATGGAAGACTATGATGCGTGATTTATAACTTTGTTATTAGTATTGAAAAATAATATTATCCAGTATTATGGTAAACAATTGTGATTAAATATAGTGGTGACAAATCATTATTCAGCTTAGGACGACTCCTTTCATCATATCAACATGGCAGAGTCGACCCCAAACTTTAATGTTCGGAATTTTGAGGGACAAAATACTTTTTTTTTTATTATCACACTGGCCGATTCCCACCAAGGCAGGGTGGCCCGAAAAAGAAAAACTTTCACCATCATTCACTCCATCACTGTCTTGCCAGAAGGGTGCTTTACACTACAGTTTTTAAACTGCAACATTAACACCCCTCCTTCAGAGTGCAGGCACTGTACTTCCCATCTCCAGGACTCAAGTTCGGCCTGCCGGTTTCCCTGAACCCCTTCATAACTGTTACTTTGCACACACTCCAACAGCACGTCAAGTATTAAAAACCATTTGTCTCCATTCATTCCTATCAAATACGCTCATGCATGCTTGCTGGAAGTCCAAGCCCCTCGCACACAAAACCTTCTTTACCCCCTCCCTCCAACCCTTCCTAGGCCGACCCCTACCCCGCCTTCCCTCCACTATAGATTTATACACTCTCTAGGTCATTCTCTTTTGTTCCATTCTCTCTACATGTCCGATCCACCTCAACAACCCCTCCTCAGCCCTCTGGATAATAGTTTTGGTAGTCCCACACCTTCTCCTAATTTCCAAACTACGAATTCTCTGCATTATATTCACACCACACATTGCCCTCAGACATGACATCTCCACTGCCTCCAGCTTCCTCCTCGTTGCAACATTCATCACCCATGCTTCACACCCATACAAGAGTGTTGGTACAACTATTCTCTCATACATTCCTCTCTTTGCTTCCACGGACAAAGTTCTTTGCCTCCACAGACTCCTAAGTGCGCCACTCACCCTTCTCCCTTCATCAATTCTATGATTCACCTCGACCTTCATAGATCCATCTGCTTACACGTCCACTCCTAAATATCTGAATATATTCACCTCCTCCGGACTCTCTCCCTCCAATCTGATATCGAATCTTTCGCCACCTAATCTTTTTGTTATCCTCATCACCTTACTCTTTCGTATATTCACTTTTAATTTTCTTCTTTTACATACCCTACCAAATTCATCCACCAACCTCTGCAACTTCTCTTCAGAATCTGCCAAGAGCACAGTGTCATAAGCCAAAAGGAACTGTGGCAACTCCCACTTTATGTTTGATTCTTTATCTTTAAACTCCACACTTCTTGCCAAGACCTTCGCATTCACTTCTCTTACTACCCCATCTACATTGAACAACCACGGTGACATCACACATCCTTGTCAAAGGCTTACTTTTACTGGGAAATAATCTCCCTCTCTCCTGCGTACTCTAACCTGAGCCTCACTATCCTCATAAAAACTCTTCACTGCTTTCAGTAACCTACCTCCTATACCACATCTGCCACACTGCCCCCCTATCCACCCTGTCATATGCCTTTTCCAAATCCATAAATGCCACAAAAACCTCTTTACCCTTATCTAAATACTGTTCACCTATATGTATCACTGTAAACACTTGGTCTACACACCCCCTACCTTTCCTAAAGCCTCCTTGTTCATCTGCTATCCTACTCTCCGTCTTAATCTTAATTCTTTCAATAATAACTCTACCATACACTTTACCAGGTATACTCAACAGACTTATTCCCCTATAATTTTTGCACACACTTTTATCCCCTTTGCCTTTATACAAAGAAACTATGCATGCTCTCTGCCAATCCCTAGGTACCTTACCCTCTTCCATATATTTATTAAATAATTTCACCAACCATTCCAAAACTATATCCTTACCTGCTTTTAACAGTTCTATTTTTATCCCATCAATCCCAGCTGCCTTACCCCCTTTCACTCTACCCACTGCCTCAGGAACTTCCCCCACACTCACAACTGGCTCTTCCTCACTTCTACAAGATGTTATTCCTCTTCGCCCTATACACGAAATCACAGCTTCCCTATCTTCATCAACATTTAACAATTCCTCAAAATATTCCTTTTATCTTCCCAATACCTCTAACTCTCCATTTAATAACTCTCCTCTCCTATTTTTAGCTGGCAAATCCATTTGTTCCCTAGGCTTCCTCAACTTATTAATCTAACTCCAAGACTTTTTCTTATTTTCAACAAAATTTGTTGATAACATCTCACCAACTCTCTCATTTGCTCTCTTTTTACATTGCTTCACCGCTCTCTTAACCTCTCTTTTTCTCTCCATGTACTCTTCCCTCCTTGCATCACTTCTACTTTATAAAAACATCTCATGCTAACTTTTTCTCCTTTACATCATCATTCCACCAATCGCTCTTCTTCCCTCCACCACCCACTTTCCTGTAACCACAAATTTCTGCTGAACACTGACACTACATTCTTAAACCTACCCCATACATCTTCGACCCCAATGCCTATACTTTCACTAGTCCATCTATCCTCCAATAGTTGTTTATATCTAACCCTATCTACCTCCTGTTTTAGTTTATACACCTTCACCTCTTTCTTACTTGCTGCTTCTATTTTCCTTGTATCCCATCTACCTTTTACTCTCACTGCAGTTACAATTAGAAAGTGATCTGATATGTCTGTGGGCCCTCTATAAACATGTACATCCTGAAGTCTACTCAACAGTCTTTTATCTACCAATACACTGTCCAACAAACTATCATTACGTCCTACATCATATCTTATATACTTGTTTATCCACTTTTTCTTAAAATATGTATTACCTATAAATAAACCCCTTTCTATACAAAGTTCAATTAAAGGGCTCCCATTATCATTTACACCTGGCACACCAAACTTACTTAACACACGCACACTAAATGTTTCTCCTACTTTAGCATTTAGATCCCCTACCACAATTACTCTCTCACTTGGTTCAAAGGTTCCTATACATTCGCTTAACATCTCCCAAAATCTCTCTCTCCTCTACACTCCTCTCTTCTTCATGTGCATACACGGTTATTATGACCCACTTTTCACATCCAACCCTTATTTTAATCACCATAATCCTTAAATTTACACATTTATATTCCCTCTTCTCCTTCCATAAATGGTTCTTCAACATTATTGCTACCCCTTCCTTAGCACTAATTCTCTCAGACAATCCTGACTTAATCCCATTTATTTCTCCCCATTGAAACTCGCCTACCCCCTTCAGCTTTGTTTTGCTTAGGGCCAGGACATCCAACTTCTTCTCATTCATAACATCAGTAATCATCTCTTTCTTATCATCCGCACTACATCCATGCACATTCAAGCATCCCAGTTTTATAAAGTATAATTTCATTAATAGATCATATCAATAGCCCCAACCCTTTCTTGCAATAATGTCTAACCCCAGTGTCAGCAGTACCTGCAAGTCATCGCCCAAAATCTATGTACAAAAACAAACTGAGATGCCATATAAGTGTGGTTCACTCAAACTTCGATAAACCAATGAGTTATTAGTAGAAAGAAGAACAAATCAAAACTGCGTCCATGCTCCTCGAGTTCAGCATTTTCTCCAGAGAGAACTTCCTTGGCGTCCTTCGAAGTGGAGTGAAGTACTGCAAAATGCAAAATATCT